CTGGGCCGGAACCGGCCCGGGGGCCGTAGGTTGCTGACCCCTGATCTAAACCATCATTAAATACAAGGAATAAGGCCAAAACACAGGTGCTAAAATACTAGCTTTTATACATTGAACATCTTGAAGATTTGCAATTTTATCAGTGCAGGTAGTCCCTCTGTAGATGCCTATGACAACTGTTTCATTCTACTGCCAAAGCATGACTTTGTGGCTATTCTTTTGATGACAAGCCTCTATTTATTTAGGGCAATCCTCTGACAATAGGCACACAGCATCCCTCGAGGACTGAAATTGAAGCCTTACCACTCTGGCAGAATCTGTCAGAGCTTATGTTTTGCTGCCATAAGGTTGTGAGTTTGATCCCAGGTAGGGCTCCAAGGTTGACTCAGCCTTCCATCCTTTCGTAGGTCAGTAAAATGGGTGCCCAGCTTGTTGGGGACAATTGGCTTACAGCCTGTAAACTGCTTAGAGAATGCTGAGTTCATTGATAAGCGGTACAGAAATGTAAATGCTATTGCTATTGCTATTACCATAGCTTTTGAGAACTCATTTCCTCAACACAAAAAAGAAGTGGGATAAAACTGTTTAAGTAGGTCTTGAACAGTTTTTGACACCTCTGTTGTGGTGGAGAGATAGTTAATAGACCAAAGTGATTTCCATGAGTCCGTCATAGCAAAAATAGATCTTGAACCCAGCTCACTCTTCAGCACAGATGCTCTCCTTGGCCCAACAAGTTCCACAATATATCCAACTCCTTCCCACCTCAAAATAGAACAATTATTTTATTGTATAGTTTATAAGTTAAACTAAGACAGGGACACTTACACGCATCCACTCTATGAGTTAAGCAAAGATTCAGGATTCTTGTGCTAAAGCACAAAGTGCTAAACTACCCAATTCCCTGAAAGGAAATACTGAGCAAGTGCACTATAAGGAGTTTATTGTATGCCTTAAATAATGCTCCTTACCTCTCCCGAATTCAACACCAATTTGTGCTGCAGCCATGTTTTGTCGCACGGCTTTTGCAGCAGAATCTGACTTCGGAGCAGATCCCTGCTCCAATGCACATTTGAAAACGCACTCCAGCAGCCATTTTTCCAAGTTGGAAGGTTCCGACTTAGAAAAATGGCCGCCAGAGCGCGTTTTCAAATGCCCATTGGAGCAGGGATCTACTCTGAAGTTGGATTCTGCTTCAACAGCCATGCGATAAAATATGGCTGCAACGCAAATTAGAATTAAATTCGGGAGAGGTAAGGAGTATTATTTAAGGCATGAGATAATCTCCTAAGACTTGTAGGAATACCTCTCCATCTCTAACCTTATTTATTCACATAGCTAGTGACCATGCTGGCTACAGTCCAATTCAGGACTGCTCATCAGTGGGTTCACTAGGGCTGGAGTCACCCAGTGCAGTAACTCATGGCGTCACCCCCCTCCATTGATCTCCTTCCATACCACACCACATAGAATCCCTAGCATTTTTTTTTGTACCAATGTTACTCATAAATTGTAATTCCCATATATCACCAAATGTAATGGCAATAGTTGTGACATAAACAACTAGCAAAATTAAAATACCTTTAAATCGCTATATCATAAATATAGCCTAAATGTATTTACATGCACATAGATTCATGTGGTTAAAGTGAAAATGTGATAAGATGAGACGTTTTTAAAGAAAAAATTAAAATATGTTTTCAACAACATTAAAGTTTTAAATTTAAATTTTTTTTAAAGAATGGAGGCCTCTCTCTCCTCCCACTGAGCCTCCCCTCTCTCATACCACCTCTTCTGCTGAATTCCATCATTTTAAGTTAATGCAGGCAAACGCCACAACCCGTTTCTGCCAAAAGGCACATTTATTATTAATAGTATTACTATTAGATATATAAACAGTAACATACAAGATGCACGCTCATATATATATTGAAATACCAGTACTAACATAAATTCTCTTTCCAAATCTCAATATCTCCTTATAACTACATAACATATAATACATCTTCTTTTACTTTAACCTTCCATATTCCTTCTCCAGCTCTTCTTTCATTTTTCCTCTCCTTCACTCATGGCTATCTTCTCATTCTGTCATTACGAATGACCAAAGGGCAGATGTTTGAGAAGCAGTGGTGTCACCCTGCTTAGGGTGTCACCCGGTGCAGCCTGCACCCCCCTGCTGCTCAGCTGAATAAGTAGGAGGGACCAGTTTATGAAATTTGGTCCAGAATATAACACTACCTAATTGAACCATGAGGGCCAGTGTGGTATAGTGGTTTGAGCATTGGACCAGGGTTCTCATGCCCACTTGGCCCTGGAAACCTTCTGGTGACCCATTGGGAGATGTTGGGCAAGTCACACCATAAATTTGAAACAACTTGAAGGCACATAACAAAGAGCTGTTGCCAGTCAAAACAGAGATTACTCAGCCTCAAAATTGGAAGGCATTTTATAATTTAGTTCTGCCTTGTGTATTTTTTTTTTAGTTTTAATGTACGTTTCTGTTGTCAGTCTTTTAAAAACAAATTGTGTCACTTGGTGAAACTGGTTTTAGAAAAAAGCGGGATACAAATTCTTCTAACAAACAATTATGAGCATAAAAATAATTGCTGGATCACAGCAAAAGCCTACTTAATCCAGCATTCTGTTCCACAGTGAGCAACCAGATGCCTCAATGAGAGGGCCACAAGCAGGACATGAGTGCGAATGTAGATCGCCACCCCCCCTTCCTTGCAACTAATACATAAAGGCATGTTATCTGTGCTATCAGTGGGAATAGATCTATTTCACGACCAATAGTCACATAATAAATAGAAAACCCAATCATCTGATGCAATGTAAAGTACCTTCATGAAATGCCAAGAAAAGTTTCACAAAACTAGCATCCCTACATGTTGGTAGTTCATGTCCGTTTGTATGAAACTGATAGTGTTCATAAATAATGCTTTAATATCCAATGCTATGTGTACCTACTCAAGAAGCAAGATACTGAATTCAGTTTGACTTTACTCTCAGATCAGCTTTTAAACTTCTTCAAAGTAGATACATGTCTCTGACAATAAATTCAATAGAGTTTGAAAAGTGTGTGCAGGAGTTGTGGATGCTACTCTGAAAGCAATTGTGGATGCTACTCTGAAAGCCTTGGACAAAGAGTAGTTAGCACATTAATTTCATGAAATAATAAATAGATACTCTTTGTCTCCCCTGAACACTTTGGTTCATTGCAAAGCACTGGGAAAAGTAGGTTGTCTCTTACCTGATGGGTTATGGATCTCAGCACTACTGACCCCACTTGCTCCTCTCTTTCAGTCCATACAGAAAACCTATTCTTCAGCCTCCTGAAAACAAGCAGCTTGTTCTTCTAAGCAGGTCCCAGACTCTGCTAACACTGCCCAGATGTGGGGCAGCCAGTGTTTGCCAGATGTTTATTTAACACTGTACTGTTTCTTAAAAGAGGCGGAGAAAGAGTGAGCGATGGTGGGGAAAAAGAGGCCCACAAGAAAAACCAGGCTGCTCATAAAGTTTGTGTATCTCTAAGAGAGAAAGAGTTCTCAGTGAAAAATTGACTTAGAGCTTGCAACCCTTCTAGCAGACTTACAACATTTCCAGCCCTCTTGAGCATTCCCTGTTGTACAATAAGGAAGACTTCATGAGTCATAAATTAATGGCTAAAAGAAAAGCAGAGTCAGTAAACCAGGATAAGCAGTTTCTAACCAACCTTTAAGTAGGGAGGACAACATAGGAGGGAAGCTGTCTGGTTTGACTTCTCTCCAAATTAGTTTGCCCTCATTCACTTCATACCAAAAGTACCAGGCTTTAACTATCATACCACAAATCACCCCATAATATGCTTGTGGGATCTGTATTGGAAAAAAAGGCTTCTACTGTTATAAAGGAATCACCCAAAGCTTTTTTTTCATGTAGTAATTAAAGTGTTGAACTCCACCAGAGACTAGGTTCAAACCCCTAAAAAGTCATGAAGCTCACTGGAGTCTGGCCCAGTTGTTGGAGATTATCACACAGGGATATAAAACAGAAGAAAAACTGAATGCTCCCATCATGATCGTGCGATCACGAGAAAATTTTCACATGACATTGCGCTCATCCAGTACTTCTCCCATCAATAACCTGGAATGCTCCCATAACTTCTTATTAATGGGGAAACCCCATGAATGGTTTGCTGACAGTGCTTCATTCACGCTATTGTGAAGGTGCGGAAGCCAATAACGATTCATTCAAGCTATTGCAGAGCAATCCGGGACCTTTTCTCAGACTGCATTTTGGT